ACAGATTTACAAATTTAAATAGAGTGCTGTGCTGTTTCAATGTATAAACTGAACGCCAAGAGAAATCACTAGTCAGATTTTTTCCGTGAATAAAATAAATATGTTAGGCGTCTCAGGATCTGTCTGAGATCTGTCTCAGTGAGACAGATAATAGCAATCAAAAGTGCTTTTATGTGTGATCTGACAATTGATCAACGATTGCTTAAAAATGAAATACAGCTTAGCCGGTTAATTGCTGTGATCATAAGACACGTAAACGGCAGCTTGCAGAGCTCAACCTGCGAAAACCTTTACTCTCGGGATCCCAGTTTCATTTTAGCCCGGTCACTAGCGCGTTTTACTGCAATGATCCAACGTTTGCGGGGTTCCGGATCTGGGGTATCCTATAGAAGGCTCTTCCCTTATCTTGTCCGCGTCAGTTCTGGCATCCTGGGGCACAACAGGAATCTACCATATTTCCCGTTTGATTGAGTTTTCTGAGAATAACAAATAGCCCAGCCGTGGGCTTCTGCCTGCCAAGATGGCGCTGTTTCGATTTGAACTGTTGCATGCCGGGAGAAGTGACGTCAACTCCCGGAGCTCTATACGATCATGAAACGAGTAAAACTCGTAAATATCTGTAATCGTGCTGAAGGAAAATCCTCATTGGGTAACTGACTGTCTTCACGCTCTGTGATTGGCCAGTCACATAGAGCGCCGTCCCTCCTTCTACACAAAACTCTGTAGCCGGTAGCTCAGTCCAGCCCATGCATCCACACACACACACACACACACACACACACACACACACACACACACACACACACACACACACACACACACACACACACACACACACACACACACACACACACACACACACACACAGACCGTAACTGATCTCTCTGTGCTTGCTTCACTGTTGCTCACGTTTCTTCAGTACTCCCTAGGTTTTCTTCAGGTCGCCTCTTTTTCGGTTGAATATTTAAAGTTACTCTCTCTCTCTCTCTCTCTCTCTCTCTCTCTCTCTCTCTCTCTCTCTCTCTCTCTCTCTCTCTCTCTCTCACACACACACACACACACACACACACACACACATGCACACACTTAATCAACATTGCTTTGTTAACTGTGAGAAAAAATGCCAACAACATTAGGGAAAAAAAATCGGTTTAATCTAATTAAAATAAAATGGTTCTAGTATTTCATATTTCCTAGTTCCTACTGCATGAGTTCAGATGTATTAATTCATGCACTTAAATATGAATGTTCTGATTTTACTGAAAAACTTGTTCTGTAATAGTTCCTTTACTGTTGTAATCAAAAATATTTAATCTCTATTCTGAGGCTGCTCTGTAAATAGTTTTCAAATAAACACATAGCAACTTCTGATCAATCCATATCAATTTCAGATTTAAAATAATTTATTGATGTAAACCTCACCCACTCATTTCCAAATAATAAATAAGAGGTGCATTCATCTGTGTATCTCCTTTGATCCACATTAGTGATGTTTTCAGCACCAGAACAGTGAAGCAAAGAAACTGATTCCTGAGTTTGTTAGTAATTTTATTTATTAGGTGCATCTGACCTGTTCTATTTTTCTCTGAAATGAGATCAAATCAGTGCTTCTATGGGTTGTCTCCCCTCTGCACTGGAAAAATTTACTTTATTATAATGTTCACTGTAATGCATCTTGATGTTCTTAACAAATAAATTAAATCTAAGATATTGGTAGGTCTCTGATCTAACAGTCACCGGAAGTCAGACAAAACATAAAAGAATAAAAAAGAGCGGTTTGCTCTGTTTTAGTGAGCATTATACAAAAACCATCCTGCGTCACACACGCACGCGCGCGCAGAGCGCACGCGGCTCCACCCCTCAGTAGCACGAGGCGGAGGGAGGCATGTCCCTGCATGTTCCAGTCGGAGGTCGAGCCTCAGATCCGGAGAGAGAGGGAGGGAGCAGGTCGCTCCTCGCGCGCGCGGACACTCATCAATACCCGGATCGGTCCGATGGACCAGTGACGTCTCCGTCCGGGACTGGAGCCTCTGGTTCGGAGAACTTGTTGTATTTTCCGTGTGTTCCGGTGGACCGAGCCGCAGAGCAGCCATGGGTTTCTACGGAACCTTGAAGCTCATCTTCTACAAAGTGAGTAGCTATCGATTATTGATCCGCGCGCCGTGCTCCGCCGTAAAGGGACCTGAAGGTGGTCGGGCGCGTGCACAACCCGGAGGATGACGAGGCGTTTCTGGTTCTGACAGCGGAGTGTGTGTTCGCGTGCGCGCGTGTGTGGACCACTGCGGAACCGGGAGAGGAGCGAGCTGATTATTGATGATTGGTTGTGGCTCCTCCAGCTGATCATACCCCAGATCAGTCTAATCTGGTAAATTAGGAGATCAAAACCATCAGAGTCACCGAAAGCATCGTTCCTGCCCGGGAATCTCAGAGATCAGCAGCTCCGTTTGGGGTCTGAGGCTCAGTTATCTGTTTCTGCTGCATTAAATCCATAAACCGTGACGTGTTTCTGCCGCCCTGCTCCGAGGAAATGCAAATAGAGGAGGGGAGTTGCTCCAGGAGCCATTCAATCGTTCTGCCTGCTCTGCTGTGAGAATACAGAAACAAAGGTCAGCCGCTCAGAAGATCCACAAAGCCGCGGTTTTATTTCTATAGCGTCAAACTTCCAGATGGATGCAGCAAATCCAAACGTTCTCCCTTCTTAGGCTGACAACACACATTAAATCCCATTAATGAGCCTGAAAACAACAAGGATTAAACCTAAGTTTTTATTCCTGCAGGAGCAACAATCCCAAATGTTTTGTGTTTCGGCAGAACTCCAGCCTCCTACAGCAGGAACTGTGGTTTCTGTCAGATTAAATCAGTAACACTGATTTAATCTCCATCAGAGATAACGGATTAAAGCCTGAAAAAGACCAAACTGCTGCCTTGTTTGGGTGAAAAATCATCAAATTACCCTAAACCACCGGAATAAAAATCTGAGAGACTTAATAAAAACAGCATTTATTAGTTATCTTCCTGTTGTAGTGGGAGGGATTAAAACCATAGATTGACAGGAGGGATTACTGATGACAGCTGCTTTAATCTAGAACACCTAAACTTTTTATCTCCGGTTGATCTGTAGCGTTGTTGCTTGTTTTAGGTTTAAAACTTCAGATTTGACCTGATGAGCAAAAAAAGTGTTTATTTTGGTTTAAAGAAGGGCTTTTATTCTGAAAAGCTAATAAAACTTTAAATCACAGTTTCTTTTTATTAAAACACCAAACTACCGGATTGTTAAATATTTATATTTATGCTGCAGTAGACCGATTTCTCTGTGCTGCTTCTGAATCCATGATCCAGTCTGATGTAGACGTGTAAACACGTTTTAAACGTTTGTTATTGACACTTTTACAGGTTACAGGCTGATACAGACCCACTTGTTACTCCAGTGGTTCTTTAATGTTTAGAAAACCAAGAAAAAGGTTTCATATTTAAAGTCAGAAGCTTAAAATGGACTAAAATGTTCTATAAAAACACAAAATACCTAAAAATACTAAATACCTGCATGTGTTATTCTGATTATTGGACTTTTTGTTGCTTTATTATCATTTTAGCTTCATGTTTTTGAGATTATTTTAGGTGATGAATCATTAAGGTCATCTGGGTTAGAGTCTAAACTGAGAGGTGCTCTGAGCATCTGGAACGACTGCTCTGGTTCTACTGGTCCCTGCAGGAGAACCTGGCCGGGTTCTGCTTCCTCTGCTGGTCCAGACAGGTGTGACCAGATGTTGATCAGAGGCAGTGAGTTTGGGTCTGAATGAACGAAATGGTTCAAACTGACTGGAAATCAGTCTGAAACGTTCACACACACACACACACACTCGCATACATTTTCTCTGTCTCACACACACACACACACACTCATCTATTTTAAACCAGCGCTGTGGCGGCCACATTCCTCCGATTTTCTGCATTCCTGCGTTCATTCAGCTCCCAGAGTCGGGAGCAGACTCAGAGCTGCGGGTCGCTGCGTTCGGGGACCTCTGAGAGTGTAGGTGTTTCCAGCGTCTGTGTGGCTGCAGCAGCTGGTTGATGATTTTCAGGCTGGAACACGAACAGGAAGTGGTTTTTCCAGACTCGAGCGGTTTTCATGTTTAATGATTACCTCAGGAATCTGCTGATATACGTCATGAAGGGAGGACGTTATTTTAGGATCATCTGTTATGTTGGAATTTGGCGAGATCTGATGAAACGATTCAGCTTCATTATGGATCAGAACACAGAAGAAGTTTGTGCTTTTAGTAGTTGGACCTGATGGACAAGAGACACAGCTGATGGGTCAGTCAGTCCAGAACTCTGATGGGACACCACACAGTAATCCCAGCTCCATGTGTAATCCCTTTAGTAGTCTGGGGTCAGGTTAACAGTGACCTGGGTGTTGTCCTCCTGGATGAGGAGCTCCACTGAGGTCCAGAGGACTAGAGTGTGTCCCTCCAACATGGAGACGATAAACAAGAGCAGGTAGAAGATCAGAGACAGACCTGATGGGACCAGCTCACCCCACACAGAGAGAGAGAGACAGTTAGAGGGTTTCTGGATGTTTCTCCTCTGGAGATGAGTCCTCAGACCTGTCAATAAAACCAATTCACCAATTTTCTACATGTTTCTCTCTAATTTAGCTACAAAACCAAAAGAAATCTGTTAAATGACACAGATTTACTCAGAAAAATGCTTTTATTTTGAAGTTTCCTGTTGAAGCGTACTTAGCTGTTTGTGTTCAGGAGCACTCGTGTGCTTGTGTCTTCGTCCGTCTAGAGCTCCTTTATTTAACCGAGGACGAGTGTTACGTCTCCGCTGGGATAAACCGTTTTGAAACCAGTGGAAGCTTTTTGTGCGTTGCTGTCGTTGCAGAGCCAGGTGCAGCCTCGAGGCTTCACAGAAAACAAGTTTTTAGATCATTTAGTAAGTCCTGTGGGTCCAGGAGCTTGGGCTCACCATACTGTATGTCTCTGTGTCTCCAGATGAAGAGGAAGCTGGACCACGGTCCAGATGGACGGCCGTTCCCATCGGGGAAGAAACACTGCAAGGGCAGCGGCTACCTCAGGTACCTTCAGTCCGTTACGGTGGTCGTGTCTCCGTGGAGGTCAGCTTAGATGCATCTGGTGTGGTTTAGAACCACCGATGTTGGACTCAAGACCTCTGCTTCTGTTAATTAAATAAATGAACAGAAAGATTCAACAGCAGCAGCTTTAGCTTCTGCATCTTCCTCTGCAGCCCCGCCAGCCTGGCTCAGGCCACGCCCACCACCTTCGGGGACCTGCGGCTGGCCAATGGGCACTCGGCTCAGAGACGACGGGTCACCTCGGGCCCGCCTCCTTCGGGCCTGCAGGACTGGCTCCTCACCTTTCAGGTGAGCCTCTTGTTCAGATGGAATATTCTCACCTGTGGAACCAAAACGGTTCTTCTGGGCCAGTCAGAGCCAGAACCTGCTGCTCCTGAGTCTGACCTCCAGCCCTGTTCTTGTGCCAAATGGATTCGTCTCCTTCTGCTTCCTGAACACAATCTGCCTCAGAGCTGTACTTGTGCAACCACTAAAAGGAGCATGCAAGGACACACACGCACACACGCACACACACACGCACGCACGCACGCGCACGCACAGCCAAACAGAAACAACATGGCTGCTGCCCTCTGTAGCTTCCAGAGGAAGATCAAAGATGAAAAGGAGACGAAGCAGGAGAGTCAGACGTTGGGTAAACGGTACTGATGGCGGTTCTAACGGCCCTGTGTCCCGTCCTGCAGACGTGGAGCGGTCCAGAGCGTCTCCTGGCTCTGGACGAGCTGATCGACCGCTGTGAGACCAGCCAGGTGAAGCACATGATGCAGGTGATCGAGCCTCAGTTCCAGAGAGACTTCATCTCGCTGCTGCCCAAAGAGGTACAGCCACGTGGGGAGCATCTCCCAGACCCAGAACCGGGCCCGGTTCTAAGGTTCTGTTTGTGTCTACAGCTGGCCCTGTACGTGCTGACCTTCCTGGCCCCCAGAGACCTGCTGCAGGCCGCTCAGACCTGCAGGTACTGGAGGATCCTGGCTGAGGACAACCTGCTGTGGAGGGAGAAGTGCCGCGAGGAAGGTGACCTTTAACCCCCATCACACCTCAGAACTCTGGGTTCAATTGGTTTAGTCCTTTAAATGTTCCACCTACAGGAGGATCTTTGTTGACATCTTTTTTCATCTTAGTGCTCACGCGCGAGTGGCTGTGTGACAACAACACACACACACACACACACACACACACACACACACACACACACACACACGATATATCCAGGGTTCCCGCGGTGTCTTAAAAAGTCTCAAAAGCATTAAATCTAAGAATTTGGAAATAACATCTTAAAAAGTCTTGAATTGAACTTGATGAAGCCTGTAGGAACCCTGATATCAACACTTTTAGGAGAGTTTGTGGGCGAAATCCTGGATAAGTAAACACTTTAACATCCAAAGAGAGGAGAAGCTTCACATCTTTACCAAAGACAAAGTTAAAGTCCTTAACTCATTCACTGCCAGCCGTTTCCTGACCACTAACGGCCTTCGCTGCCAGCGTTTCTCACCGTTTTTACAGTTTTTTTAAGAGTCACAGAACGTTGCGCGCTAGCATGATGTCGTTGCCAAAACAACCAAAACAAAGAGGAGACTCACCTCTTACATCAGGACGAAGCCGCGTGTTTCAAGCATTATCCGTTCTTTCGTAATCCGTTGTCGAATTGTGATCGGCAGACGTTTTTCCGGTTCGCGCCTCACTTTTTTTTACAGGAACGGCCCAAAACGATCTCCTAACACATGGATGTGTTGCTTCCTGATCATGTGATCTGTGACGTATGCGGATGAAGATCAGCTTCAGGGCTGAGGTGTTTGTTCTCTCAGCGCGGGGGCTCGTTCCGATGCTCAAACAGTAAAAAAATGCAAATGGCAGTGAATGAGTTAAAAGCCCGTATGAGCTCTGGGATGACGACGTCAGTCCGATTCACCGGGGGTTTTCCACAGAGCTGCCGGGACCCGGACCCTCCGCTCGTGAAAAACGAAAGGCTTCCTGGCCTCTGGAGGCCGGCGATCGTTTAGTTTTAAGGGAAAGTTGAGCTGATTTCTTCTGAAAACAGAAAGCTGTGGTCGCGCTAATGGCAGCAGTTAGCTCACGGCGTTATTTACATCACCTGTGGGTAGCGGCCAAAGAAAACCGATAAATCCTCACTGCTGCAGCAGGTCTGGGTACGTCTTCATCAGTCAGTGCCCTCGTTTGTTTATTATTTAATGAGAGCGGTGTGAGACGCCTGAATCAGAACATGGATTTAAAATACACAAACATGAATGTTTTTAACGACATCTTCTCTAACGAACAAATACGTAGTCACAAGGACTTACCGTGATCAGAGTGAGCCTCGCAACCTGTCCGGTGCTGCACGAGTCCAGGCTTTCGTCGGAGAGTCCGGGTCGCTCGCTGTCATCTCTGGTGAAGGTCCTCAGTCATCCAGGGAGCACCACAATCATCTCTTTCATATTTAGCGGTTGTTTACGGAGGAAATTCCAGTAAAACTTTTTATCAAGCCTCCCACGAGCCGACCTATCAACCACACAGCAAGAATGATCCATCTGCCTCGCTCCTCTAAATGTGAAAAACAACCGAATTATAGGCTAAATGCGCCGCTACATGCCACACACTCCCGCCACGCAATGTGAGAAACAAACACTGACATCACAAAAGATCCTCCTATTGGGTAGCATGTTTCAGATCTGAGCTGCAGTCTGATCCAGCGTGTTTTTAATGGGTCTTTGCTGCTTTTTAAATACGTTTTAGGATATTTTGGTTGTTTTGTTGATTCTTGATCAGTTTAACTCTGATTATGAATCATTCAGACGGTAAAAGATTTTGTTTAAGGCAAAAATATTGGATTGGTGAAAAAGCACTAAATTAAATGCGTTAGTTGTCAGAAATAAATGTTTTTAGAGTAAGTTTATCTGTTAGGATTTGATTATTTATCCTGTTTTCTTGTATTTTAGAGCAGCGTTAACCCTCAGAATGATGCATTAAATAAACTCTGAGACGAAGACGATCCCTGTCTTGGACCGTTACCTGATAGAAGAGCCAGTTCCACTTGGAGCTAGATGTTTACCTGAAGGGGAAGTTAGCAGCGCCGAGCAGCAGCAAATAAAACCTGATGAATAAATAAAGAGCGGGAGGAGGAGGGCAGGAGGCAGGTTGTCGATGATCTGGTCTGAAAACATGTACAGCTGTTGTTTATGGATTAGTTACCTGAGCAGAAACACTACAGGTGGGTTTCCACACGACAAACAACAACAGGCAGATGAGAGAAGACTCTAGATGTAAAAAGCTTTCTAACCTGGAGGCGAGATGGAGATCCTGCTACACACAATCCATCACTCCTTTCATTCAGCGCAATGCAGTGGCTGTGTGTGTGTGTGTGTGTGTGCGTGTGCGTGCGTGTGTGTGCGTGCGTGTGTGTGCGTGTGTGTGTGTGTGTGTGTGTGTGTGTGTGTGTGTGTGTGCGCGCGTGTGCGTGTCTGGGCGTTATGCCAGTCAGTGGAGATTCACTGCCAGCACTCGGCAGCCATACCAATGAGGCTACCTAGCGTTAGCGCCACAACACAGCCATACTAATGAGGCAGTGCTAGCTGCGGCTCCACGGCTCCATAAATAAGGCTAATTATTACCCGTCCTGCTCCACCACTGGGAACCGTGTTGCTGTTAGTCACAAGTCAGTCAGAATACAAATGTAGCTAGCCTTCATTAGCAGTGCTCCACTTACATACTAATGACACGGCTGTGCTTGTTCATGCTAACCAGCATGAGGAAACACACATGATAGGCTGTCATTCATTTATTAGACAACTGATGAATAACTGATTTGCTTTCAGAGCTCATAACTCGGCTTAATTTGGTTTAGTTAAGAAGCTCCATTTCACAGCAACGGTCATCTGAAGGAGCTAAAGACAACAAGTCTAGTCCTGATCAGGTTCAGGACAGGTGTTTGCTGTATCTTCAGTTCAGGTGTAATAAAATCAGCCCATACACATCTATCCGGTTGGATTTAATCTGCATTTTAATCCCTTCTACTGAGCAGAAGCAGGGAGATAGTAAGAAGGGATAAGTCAATATGTCCGCCTGTAGCTGAATAGCTAAAGACATGAGCCAGGCTAACCTACTATGTCCTCCAGCAGTTGGAGCCTGTAGCAGCATAACTAAAGGTGTGAGCCAGGCCATGGTTGTTATACGATCTAAATAGTTTAGCTCACTTAAATCTACTACCTTTCAAGCTACTGGGTAAAATGACTGCAATTTAAGCTAATGTTTGGTGAGTTAACTTCAAAGCTATCAGTTACAGATCCGTTGCGGGTGTCTGGGAACTTTCAGTTTAGTTTCAGTGAGTCCAAAAGCGCAAAAGAAATGTGAGACAACTCTGGGGGGAGTTGGAGTGTCTGGGTCAGTTAAGTTGTACTTAAACCACTCTATCACTACTATATAACCATGCATCTGCAAAACAGTAACCCTAGTTTCATACACCTTAGTGTCATACACCCTAGTCATACACATTAGTTTCATACACCCTAGTCATACACATTAGTGTCATACACCCTAGTTTCATACACCCTAGTGTCTTACACCCTAGTCATGCACATTAGTGTCATACACCCTAGTGTCATACACCCTAGTGTCATACACCCTAGTTTCATACACCCTAGTTTCATACACCCTAGTTTCATACACCTTAGTGTCATACACCCTAGTTTCATACACCTTAGTGTCATACACCCTAGTTTCATACACCTTAGTGTCATACACCCTAGTGTCATACACCCTAGTTTCATACACCTTAGTGTCATACACCCTAGTTTCATACACCCTAGTTTCATACACCCTAGTTTCATACACCTTAGTGTCATACACCCTAGTGTCATACACCCTAGTTTCATACACCTTAGTGTCATACACCCTAGTTTCATACACCTTAGTGTCATACACCCTAGTTTCATACACCCTAGTTTCATACACCCTAGTTTCATACACCTTAGTGTCATACACCCTAGTTTCATACACCCTAGTTTCATACACCTTAGTGTCATACACCCTAGTTTCATACACCCTAGTTTCATACACCTTAGTGTCATACACCCTAGTTTCATACACCCTAGTTTCATACACTCTAGTTTCATACACCTTAGTGTCATACACCTTAGTGTCATACACACTAGTGTCATACACCCTAGTTTCATACACCATAGTTTCATACACCTTAGTTTCATACACCATAGTTTCATACACCATAGTTTCATACACCTTAGTGTCATACACCCTAGTTTCATACACCCTAGTTTCATACACCCTAGTTTCATACACCATAGTTTCATACACCCTAGTTTCATACACCTTAGTGTCATACACCCTAGTGTCATACACCCTAGTTTCATACACCTTAGATTCATACACCCTAGTTTCATACACCCTAGTTTCATACACCCTAGTTTCATACACCTTGGTGTCATACACCCTAGTGTCATACACCCTAGTGTCATACACCCTAGTTTCATACACCATAGTTTCATACACCTTAGTGTCATACACCCTAGTTTCATACACCCTAGTTTCATACACCCTAGTTTCATACACCCTAGTTTCATACACCATAGTTTCATACACCCTAGTTTCATACACCTTAGTGTCATACACCCTAGTGTCATACACCCTAGTTTCATACACCTTAGATTCATACACCCTAGTTTCATACACCCTAGTTTCATACACCCTAGTTTCATACACCTTAGTGTCATACACCTTAGTGTCATACACACTAGTGTCATACACCCTAGTTTCATACACCCTAGTTTCATACACCTTAGTGTCATACACCCTAGTTTCATACACCCTAGTTTCATACACCTTAGTGTCATACACCCTAGTTTCATACACCCTAGTTTCATACACCCTAGTTTCATACACCCTAGTTTCATACACCATAGTTTCATACACCCTAGTTTCATACACCTTAGTGTCATACACCCTAGTGTCATACACCCTAGTTTCATACACCTTAGATTCATACACCCTAGTTTCATACACCCTAGTTTCATACACCCTAGTTTCATACACCTTAGTGTCATACACCTTAGTGTCATACACACTAGTGTCATACACCCTAGTTTCATACACCCTAGTTTCATACACCTTAGTGTCATACACCCTAGTTTCATACACCCTAGTTTCATACACCTTAGTGTCATACACCCTGGTTTCATACACCCTAGTTTCATACACCTTAGTTTCATACACCCTAGTTTCATACACCCTAGTGTCATACACCTTAGTTTCATACACCCTAGTTTCATACACCTTAGTGTCATGCACCCTAGTTTCATACACCCTAGTTTCATACTCCTTAGTTTCATACACCTTAGTGTCATACACCCTAGTTTCATACACCCTAGTTTCATACACCTTAGTGTCATACACCCTAGTTTCATACACCCTAGTTTCATACACCTTAGTGTCATACACCCTAGTTTCATACACCTTAGTGTCATACACCCTAGTTTCATACACCCTAGTTTCATACACCTTAGTGTCATACACCCTAGTTTCATACACCCTAGTTTCATACACCTTAGTGTCATACACCATAGTTTCATACACCCTAGTTTCATACACCCTAGTTTCATACACCCTAGTTTCATACACCTTAGTGTCATACACCCTAGTTTCATACACCTTAGTGTCATACACCCTAGTTTCATACACCCTAGTTTCATACACCCTAGTTTCATACACCTTAGTGTCATACACCCTAGTTTCATACACCTTAGTTTCATACACCTTAGTGTCATACACCCTAGTTTCATACACCTTAGTGTCATACACCCTAGTTTCATACACCCTAGTTTCATACACCTTAGTGTCATACACCCTAGTTTCATACACCTTAGTTTCATACACCTTAGTGTCATACACCCTAGTTTCATACACCTTAGTGTCATACACCCTAGTTTCATACACCCTAGTTTCATACACCTTAGTGTCATACACCCTAGTTTCATACACCCTAGTTTCATACACCTTAGTGTCATACACCCTAGTTTCATACACCTTAGTTTCATACACCTTAGTGTCATACACCCTAGTTTCATACACCCTAGTTTCATACACCTTAGTGTCATACACCTTAGTGTCATACACCATAGTGTCATACACCCTAGTTTCATACACCCTAGTTTCATACACCCTAGTTTCATACACCTTAGTGTCATACACCTTAGTGTCATACACCATAGTTTCATACACCCTAGTTTCATACACCTTAGTGTCATACACCTTAGTGTCATACACCTTAGTGTCATACACCTTAGTGTCATACACCATAGTGTCATACACCTTAGTGTCATACACCTTAGTGTCATACACTTTAATGTCGGATATACAGAGTCTCCAACAGTCACAGGCCAGTGAGATAATGCTTTGTTGGGCTGAATCAGGGATCTTTATGGTTTAATGTTCTTCATTTTTATTTATGAAACTCTCCTTTAGTGTTATTTCAAATATAGAACAGGAAACCAGCATAATTTCCCTTTACTTTGAAATGAAACTTTCAACATAAACAAGATCCTTCTTCAAAAAAAAGAAAAAAATACTGCGTTCTGATAACCCGAGTCTCTGATGCGTCTGCCTCTCCAGGTATATCAGAGCGTGTACGTCGCAGGGATTGTGAGCAACCTGGTGCTGACATCAGCCCGTGGAAATCGGCCTACATCAGACAGCATCGCATAGAGACCAACTGGAGGAGGGGCGACGACAGGGAGCCCTCTGTGTTAAAAGGTCACGACGATCATGTGATCACTTGCCTGCAGTTCAGCGGAGACCTGATAGTGAGCGGCTCCGACGACAACACGCTCAAAGTCTGGTCGGCCATCACCGGGAAGGTAGGAGACCGTCGCAGAGGCAGACATATTGATTATGGAGATGGTGTCATCCTGCTGCTTCAGCTGAAACCACATCAGTGTCTGTGGGTCCGTGCACTCACTTTGTGGTGTGTGTGTACGTGCGTGCGTCTGTGTGTGTTAGTCCTTGCTTAATTTTCAGCTTGCTAGGAGCTACTGATGCTCGCGTGCCCTCCTGGCTCCTGAGAGGTGTTATTTATTTAAGGCTTTGATTTCCTCTGAGTAATTTAGATTTTAATTTCAGGGCCGGATTTCATCCTGCAGCGATAAAACATGATGTCTAACGACCCGTAGGCTCCTTTAGTCATATGAAAGGTCTTTAGTGTCTGACTGCTGGTTTGGTTTAACAGAAGCCAACCGACCCGTCCAGGCGTGTTGCAGAAAAGCTGTTTAAACACACACACACACCGCCCCAGGCTGCTTTGTTTCAATGCAGTTTATACAGCTTGTGTGTTAAAGGAGAAAACACTCTGTCTCTGTTTGCAGGTACTTTAGTTTTTACTCACATGATGTTCTCCTGCAGCGAACACCTGCTGACCTTTAACCCCATTTATGTCCTATAGATACAGTCTTCATTTATCTTCTTGCCAACATGCAGAAAATAAAACCAACAAGTCGTTCTGACCCTGGGGCAACTATTTAGCCTCATATCTGGTGTTTAAATTACAAACGTTAGGGAGATAAGACGGCCGTTTTGTGAGTCAGAAGAATTCCACACAGAATCCTGAAGGAGCACAGTTCAGATGTTTCTGATCAGGGATGTTTGGTGTGGAACAGAAACGTGGCTCAGGTGAGGGACACGTGTGTCCGTCTGGTTTCGGTTAAACATTCTTCAACCCAACACACCCAGTCTCTGTGCAGACCTGTCCCGGTCTTCTTTAAGACACGTCATCGTCGTGGAAACCATTACATCATTAGTCCTTTTGGTTAGTACTGATGGAAGAAGAGCGGGCTTCATCACCTCCATCCCCTCTGTCTTAAGCAAACCCGTCAGCACGGCGTGACGGCTCCAGAGCCGGGTGGTGCCGCTGCTACTGGCTTCCTCCTCTTGCCTCTGCAACGTTTGCCCCGCGTTGCCACGGCAACCCCCACCACAGCACTTTGGAGGGGAAACGGCATTCTTTCAGTGCGTCCTTGGATAGTAGCTGTGAAAGTGGAACAAATATTGACACGCAGGTTTATAAAGAATGTAACAGTGGAAATAAGCAGCTCCTCTCCGTCCAACGAGCTCGTTTAGTTTTCAGACAGTTCTGTCAACAGATGGGATTTAAACACTTTACCTGAAATGCAGAAAGTATTCAGGTTTAAACAGAATTTAAACTCTAATCATCATTTTTTGGTTTTGTTTGGTGTTAATCACAGTTTTAAATTCACAAATATTTACTCACGCGTCACTTTTCCTGTTTTTTACTCCGGTGGTGCCCTCAGACGTCACCCCGTTTATTCCAGAGCTGTCTAAATTAAGCGTCTGCCCCCCTCGTCTCCGTGTCTTCCTGTCTCAGTGTCTGCGCACGTTGATGGGCCACACCGGAGGCGTCTGGTGCAGTCAGATGGCCGTCGCCACGGTGATCAGCGGCTCCACCGACCGGACGCTGCGTGTGTGGGACGCCGAGAGCGGCAAGTGTGTGCACACGCTGTACGGACACACATCCACCGTGCGCTGTATGCATCTCCACGGCAACAGGTTATACACACACACCTCAGGAACTCCTTATCCCTATGGTAACCAGCAAATGCAATAATTTAGTTGTAATATTTTTTATTTGGTTGCACAAATAATGATATGCTGTGAGATTCTATCAGACAAAGGGATGTTCCAATTTGCTGACGTGTCAGTGACACGGTGCCTCCCCCCCCCCCCCCCAGGGTGGTGTCGGGCTCTCGGGACACGACGCTGCGCGTTTGGGACGTATCAACGGGTCGCTGTGAGCACGTGCTGACGGGTCACGTGGCTGCAGTGCGCTGCGTCCAGTACGACGGCCGGCGCGTCGTGTCAGGGGGCTACGACTACATGGTGAAGGTTTGGGACCCCGAGACGGAGGTGTGTCTTCACACACTGCAGGGACACACCAACAGAGTTTACTCTCTCCAGGTAAGGACACACCTTTAAACTCTGACTCAAGCCAAGTCTCCTGTTTGGGTTGTAACAGTTTTTATTCCTTCAGTTTGACGGCGTGTTTGTGGTGAGCGGCTCGTTGGACACGTCCATCCGAGTCTGGGATGCAGAGACAGGTAGAAATAGTAGGTGATAGCTTGACGAATCTTAAATGTAAACGAGCTAAACTGGATCTGGTAAATCCAGGTGGGTGTGTCCACACGCTGACCGGCCACCAATCCCTGACGAGCGGCATGGAGCTGCGTGACCACATACTGGTTTCCGGGAATGCCGACTCCACGGTGCGAGTGTGGGACATCCGGTCAGGACAGTGTCTCCACACACTGCAAGGTGAGATGAGGACACTGTGGTAAAATATCTTCATCAGCTGAAAGAGCGTTGTGTTTGAGGTCAGGGGTCACCGCGTGTTGATGTGTTTCCTTCAGGTCCCAACAAGCACCAGTCAGCAGTGACGTGTCTGCAGTTCTGCAGAGGTCTGGTTCTGTCTAGTTCTGATGACGGGACGGTTAAACTGTGGGACCTGCGGACCGGAGCCTGGCTGCGGGATGTGGTGGTTCTGCAGAGTCGGGGCTCAGGTCAGAAATGCGCACCTTTACATAAAGTTTCCTTAAAAATGTGGAGCGTTTTGTGTGATTTACACGATGGTATCATCAGCATATAAAGTGATTCTGCAGTGGGCCGAGTATTCATCCCTGAGGAACGCCTTCATCAACCATTTAAAGCCTTAAGTCCAAATCATCAACCTTTTTTTTTTAAAAACGTTTAAGGGTCTGGATTAGTATGCCTAAAGTGGACAAAAGACATTTTGTCCTCTTTAGGACAATTCTGCGTTTGTCTGTAAACGCTCCCTTGATTCTCTCCAGGTGGAGTTGTGTGGCGAATCCGGGCGTCCGACACCCGGCTAGTGTGCGCCGCAGGAAGCAGGAACGGCACAGAGGAGACCAAACTGCTGGTGTTGGACTTCGACCTGGACGAGAAGAAGGAGGCGGTGGACATAAATTGAAAGAGGAAAAGGAACACTTCACTGGGGGTTTACTTAGTAATGGCAAAGCCATAGACCTTTTTTTTTTTACCAAAGTCCTGACCGAATCCAGTTTCCTCTCATCGGTCAGGTGTGAATGTTACGACATGTTCTGATTGGATGCCATGTTTGCTGCTGGAGGACACGTTAAACAGCCTGATGGAGGACAGAAACACTACACGATGCTCAGGTGTCTCCCTCTCAGAGACTGATGGGAGTTTGAATGTAGCTGATGGGAAACGACGACGAGCGAGGCCATTCCTTTCTCTTTTTGCTGCTGTACCAATGAGGAGGAGATGATTCAAACGAACCAATCCAATCCTACCAAATCCTGACGGACAGAGACAACCGGCCCTCAGAGACGCCGGAGACGAGCCTCACGTTCTGTCAGTGTTGTTTATTTCACATTTGGTCTGTTTCCGAGCTTCTAACCAGCTCAGCCCCGCTGTTACACGTTTGGAAAGCAAACGGTTTTCCCATCATGCAGCGAGGGAAAACACAACCAGAGCCTCACATCCGGAGTACTGAAGACCTCTGAATCAGTCGGAGGTTTGGTTTGTCCACATGTTTCTGCTGGAAGTGGAGGGAAATCTGGAGAAGGGAGAAAAGTTCTAGGACCTCAGAGTTTCGCCGATTCATTCCTCTACCTGTTTCCAGAAAAAGCAGTAAAATAGTCTTAAAAGAGTTCCTAAATGATGAGAAATATTTAAATACCAGTCCTGATAATCCTGTCTTCATCTCCTTCTGAGCCACACTTTATTAAAACTAGTAGCTCACTGGGCTGCAACCAGTTAGAGGTGCATAAATGTCCCAGCTGTGGACACTTCTGAGACGAGGTCTGTTGTGAGCATTAGTTTTTTTTTTTTGTTTTGACTGATTTGTCAGCGTCCACGAATCTATTTTAATATATTGAGCAAATTATTTAGTTTCCTTTAGTCTCAGTCTGGTCTCCAGCTCCTCCCAACGTCTGTTCGGAGTTGTTCAGAGTTCCTGCGGAACGACGGCGAGACACCGTCGCTCACGCAGGGGAGCTGTTCTGAGATAATCTAGAAACTTCCTCCCAAATTGTCTCACGCCTCATCAGTCGCAGCCCAGTGAGCCACCCGGTCCCATAATCCATAATCTCTAATCCAGCATCAGAGAAGAGTCAAATTATTTTCATACAGCCATTATCTGGCTCTTATTTTATTATTAACTAAAAATAAATCAGAGACTTTATAATTCTAGAGCAGGCCTGAGCTTAGTCATTATTACGATATAATAATAATAAAATATATCATTTATCAATCAGAATATTTTCTATGGTTTCTCTTAAATGTGTGATTTTCTCAAAAAGAATAGAAACAAACTCGAGTAGAAGAAATGTTTGTGTTTCTGCTCGAGTGGATCCCGCCCCTCCTGATAAACGTTTATTACTGTTTTAGAGACAAACGATCCGCGCGGCTCTCATCCAGCTCAACTGTCTTTATTTTAGACACAATCATGACTCTTTATGGCCTTTTTTTAAAGAGCAAGTCACCCCCTACCAGAGTCTAACTCCAATCCCACTTCATGTTTGAAAAATGCAACAAATGCTGTTGCCAGGCAGAGCGAGAGGGCGGAGCCGCTAACAAATACACACACACACAGGCTCACGACAGCATTGTGACATCATAATGTACCAGTGTACATCATAGCATACCTCTTAGCCAATAGCGATGGCTGATTTAAATTCAAATACAGTGCAGAGTTTTTACCTGACGACGGCACAACACTGACAGTTTTAGGCAGAATATTTAAATTTTAACTAAGATGCACTGAAGTGCCAAATTATTGACGACACGTGTCTGCAGCACGATTAGACACTCGTTTATTTATTAGTTTATCAGCAAAAAAAAAGTTGATCTGGGGGTGACTTGCTCTTTAAGCACGTGGGTTTGAGTACACAGGACGCCGTTATGAACACTAAATCACGAGATTTCTGTCTTATTTCAGTTAAATCTCATTAGTCCGCTTTAAATAATGAAGTGAACGATTGTTTTACACCTTAAATTATTTTTCTTTTGATGATTTTTGAGAAAACATTCAGACTTTTCCGCCTTCATTAAGCTGCACTCGATCTGAAGTTACAGCGTTAATCTGTGAAGTCACCTTTTCCTTCTTCCGTTAACAACCGTGTCGTGTTTTCATCAGCTATTAAACAAGATAAATAATTTAAAACAGTTTCTAGTTGTAGATATTAATCCAATAAGCTGCTGTTGCCAGGCAACACTTCCAACCAGTGAGCAGAGTTTGGGCGAGATCTTCCCCCGGCAACAAGTGGTATTTCAGGCAGGAGGTTGACCTTTTGCAGGTGTGAGGCTCCCCGACGATGGAATCGTGTAAAATAGTGTAAATACAGACAGGATTGTACATATTCAGCTTTTTATAAGAAAAACAGAAAATATTGTCCTGGTTGAACGAAAAGAGAACTGGATGGATAAATATGAACAATAAAGATGAGTTTTATAAAACACTGTGTGCTGTGTTGTTAATGCTTGGCGATCTTTCTGTCTGATGCCAGAACCAACCAGCTGAAATGAATCGAGCAGGAAATCAGTCACACCTTACTACAAACTGGAGCAGGAAAGAGAAAAAATTTAAATCCTAATCAATCATTTGAAACAAACGTCCTGTTTTAAAGAATTGTTTGTTTTCTACGAATAATTTTTGCGTTTAGATCTTTATATGAATTAATTCAGAATCCAAAAGTGAATCTTTGTAACCAGGGATGAAACCGATGTGCGACAAGTTTTTGTTTTATTCAAACTTACCGAAACCAAATAAAAATGTGAAGAGTCTGAAAAGGTTTATATAAACTATAAATATTCATCAGTTTTCCCAACCTTTTCCCCCTGTTTTACTTCATTTCTAATGTCTTTAAAAGGTTCTTAAGTTAATGTTTTTGTGGTGTTCCACAGGGCGCGTTGCTCAAACCATTGTTTTTTTCCTGACATTTGTGATTTTTAAACCTTTTGACAATCTACGTCAAAGAGAAACTTTGCTAGCCTGGCAAGCCAGACTAAATTAATGTATTATTTAAAAGTTTGCAAAGCAAGAATTTGGTCTAGTTCACTAGGCTAAAACTTTGCAGTTTTGGCTTGCTTTTAGCACCTCCTAGTGTTCTAATTCGCCTTCGTAAAAAACGAACTCGCTTCCTTGCTGTGCGTTTGTGTTTTTAGCACTTTAACAGTTTAAATGTCTCCATTAATTTCTACAGGAGCGGTTAATCAACTCAGCTGTGTTCACAATCTACAGTTCAGACTACCCACCTTTATGGAGTCCTTGGGGGTGGGGGGTCTGGAGAGCGTTCCTTCCGGTGACTCCCTCGTTCTGCTGGGGGACTTTGAAGCTCACGTGGACAACGACAGTGAGACCTGGAGAGGTGTGGTAAGGAGGAACACCCCCAAGATCTGAGTTTGAGCGGTTTTTTGCTATTGGACTTCTGTGCTAGTCATGGATTGTCCATAATGAACACCATGTTCAGACATAAAGGTGTCCATGTGTGCTGCACCAGGATACCTTAGGCCGCAGCTCGATGAACGACTTTGTCGTTGTTTCGTCTGACCTGCGGCCGCATGTCTTGGAATCTGGTGAAGAGAGGGGCGGAGCTGTCAACTGACCACTACCTGGTGGTGAGTTGGCTCCGATGGTGGGGGTGGTGTGCCGCTGACCTCTACCCAGGAAGTTGTGGATCGGTGGGCGGAGTACTTCAAAGACTTCTGCAATCCCACCGGTACGTCTTCCAGTGAGGAAGCGGAGCCTGGGGACTTTAGGTTGAACTCTCTAATCTCTGGTGCTGAGGTCACTGAGGTTGTCAAAAAGCTCCTTGGTGGCAAGGCCCCAGGGTGGATGAGATCTGCCCGGAGTTCCTTAAGGCTCTGGATATCAGCGGGCTGCTTTGCCTGACACGGCTCTGCAACATTACGTGGACATCGGGGGCAGTTCCACTGGACTGGCAGACCTGGGTGGTGGTCCAACTATTTAAAAACGGGGACCGCAGGGTGTGTTCCAACTACAGAGGGATCACACTCCTGAGCCTCCCTGGTAAAGTCTATTCAGGGTTTTCTGGAGAGGAGGGTCCATCGGATTGTTTAACCTCGATTTCAGGAGGAGCAATGTCGTTTTCGTCCTGGCCGTGGAACGCTGGACCAGCTCTTTACCTTTGAGGGCATCCTGGAGGGTGCGTGGGAGTTTGCCCAACCAATCTACGTGTGTTTTGTGGATTTGGAGAAGGCATTGAACTGTGTCCCTTGGGGGGCCCTGTGGAGGGTACTCCAGGAGTATGGGGTACCAGGCCCTCTGAAAAGGGCTGTTAGGTCCCTGTATGACTGGTGTCAGAGCTTGGGCCGCATTGCTGGCAGTAAGTCGAGCTCGTTCCCAGTGAGAGTTGGACTCCGCCAAGGCTGCCGTGGTGAAGAGAGCGCTACGCCAGAAGGCAAAGCTCTCGGTCGATCTACGTTCCTACCCTCCCCTATGATCACGAGCTTTGGGTAGTGACTGAAAAAATTAGGTCGTGGATACAAGCGACCGAAATGAGTTTTCTCCGCAGGGTGGCTGGGCTCTCCCTTAGAGATGGGGTGAGAAGCTTGCGGGAGGGGCTCAAAGTAGATCTGCTGCTCTTCCACACCGAGAGGAGCCAATGAAGGTGGCTCTGGCATCTAGTTAAGATGCCTCCTGGACGTCTCCCTGGTGAGGTTTTCTGGGCATGTCCAACTGAGAGGAGACCTAAAGGGAGACCCAGGACATGTTGGAGGAACTATGTCTCTCAACTAGCCAGGAGACACCTTGGGGTTCCCCTAGAAGAGCTGACCCAAGTGGCTGGGGAGAGGGAAGTCTGGGCTTCTCGACTTAGGCTGCTGCCCCCGTGACCCGACTCAAGATAAGCAGAAGAGAACGGATGGATGGATGGACTTAACTCTCAAACTTAACTTTAGAGACTCAACACAGGCTCACTTTCTACCTGGGCCTGTTGCCATAGAAACTGATGCTGGAGACCAACCTGCCTTGAGCTCAATTTCTTGTCTTCTGCAGAGACAGTGGTCTGATATTCCTGCTGGATGTTGAACAAGAACAGAAAAGTTGTAGTCCTGCTTTTTATTTCTTCCGTAGCAGCGTCTTGTGGCTTTAAACATTAAACAAGGAGGCCAAATCCTGCAGAAGTCATCAGTGTTTTCAGTTTAAAGCAGGTGATTTAATGAAAGGTGCAACGTAATAAAAATAATAGTCTTTACTAAATGTCTGAACACTCCATAAACAACTTCTAGGAGTGTTCCTCCTCAGGAGAAGAACTTCATTCAGAAGCATCGGCGTAGAGAAGGATTTCTGCTCTTTTACACCAGAACAAAGTTCAACTCTGAACCTCCGTCTTCCCACTCGTTTCCTGTCTGCATCCCTCAGCAGAGCTTCAGTAGGTGGGAGAGAGGAGCAGAAAGCGTTACGCAACCAGAACCGGGCCCCGGCGTCCAGAACAAGAAGCAAACAGCAAAACGTAGGAGTGTGTGCGTGTGTGTGTGTGTGTGTGTGTGAGAGAGAGAGAGCTTCATTAATAAAACAAGACCAAATCCTCCACATCCTGTTTGCCTGCTTGTTAGTATTCAACATGTGTGCATTGTTTTCCTCTCGCTCCGCACAAACACCAGAAACCCTCGTTTTACGGGCGTTTCTTTTTTATGAGCTTCAGCTGAAGGTGCAGATTCTACATCAGACTGGTTTCAGATGTATGAAATTATAAAAATAATCAGACAAGAAACGTAAAACACAAGAATTAAAGAAAATATTTGAAAAGAAATGAACTAATGTAAATAAATAATGTGTACAAAGAAGGATGAGTAAATTAAAAAGGCTAAATGAAAGGAAACTAATAAAAATGCAGGTTAAATATAAAAAAGCAAAAGACGAGTGAGACAGGAGTGTAAAAGAGAAAGAAAGAAAAAGATTAAGGAAGAAAACAGAATAAAAAACTGAAATGAAAAATGACAGAAAATAAAGATAAAAGTAATATAGAATTATTCTGTTTGCTCCTGTGTGTTTGTGTGTGTGTGTGTACGTGCGTGTGTGTGCACGTGTGTGTGGTACCCTGGAGGAATAAAGCTGAAAAACATCTCATATTTTACCCAAGATGCTTTGCGCCCTTTTGACAGCACAATACAACATCCCCGTAAGTACCATACACACACACACACTCACACACATACACACACATACACACACACACACACACACACACACACATACACACACACACACACACACACACACACACACACACACACACACAGCTAGTTTAAAGAGCAACAATGTAAACATGGTAATAAAACAAGTCTAAACTACAAACTGAGATATAAAATGAACATAATATAAATGTAAACAGTCACATGTTGAGGTATCAGGGTGAACTAGCTAAAGATAAAGGTGCTGCAGTGCACTAACTGTCCAGCAGGATCACTGTTAGTGTGACCTCATAGCAGTAACAGTCAGTTCAGTGATGGCTCCTGCACAAAAGCTGTTTAACAGCCTGGTGGTGTGTTTTATTGCCTGAATCGTTTACCAGACAGAAGTCTGAAGAGAGGGTTGGTGGGTTGAGTCCTTGTGATGTTTGTGGTTTTTCTAAGACAGCGAGTGGTGAAGACGTCATCCAGGGCAGGCAGGTGTGTGTTTGTTGTTCTCTGCAGTTGTGATTACTCTCCGCAGGGCCTTCCTTTCAGCTGCAGAGCTGCTGCTGTTCCACACCAGGATGCTGTTGGTCAGGACACTCTATGGAGCAGTGATAAAACCACACCAATACTTTTTATGGCAGGTTGATCTTCCTGAGAGCCGTTGTGTCTTCTTAATCAGACATTTGGTGTTGTGAGTCCATGTGAGGTCCTCTGACATGTTTGTGGCCAGGAACTTGAACTGTGGCACCCTCTCCACCTGCTCTCCATTTATTGTGAACAACTGGCGCTCCACCTTTCCCTTTTAGGGTAAATAATGATTTTGTCGGTTTTGTTGGTATTCAGGATCAGGTTGTTAGCTGTACACCAGTCCACCAGCTGGTGTATGCTGACTCATTTCCCTGGCTGATTAGGCCCACCACGGTTGTATCATCGGCAAACTTAATGATGATGTTGATGTTGTGGGTGGGCTTACATTCGGGTGTGTACAGGGAGTACAGGAAGGGACTCAGCACGCAGCCTTGTGGGACTCCTGTGCTGAAGGACAGAGAGGAGGAATAGCGGTGGCCTAGCTTAGCAGACTGTGGTCGGATTGTTAGTAAGTATTTTATCCACATATCATGTTTATTTAAATACTTTGTCACTGGAAGGCATAATAAATGTTTGAAGCTTCTAGATTTTGACGGTGTTTTATTTAAAGAAAACATTTACTAGTGAATGCTGCACATTTGCTTTGCCTGTTCAGTTTGGTTGCAAATGTAATAGGGGCCTGTCCGGGATATTTTAAAGAGCAAGTCACTCCAAATCAACATTTTTTTGCTGATAAACTATATAAATGAGTGTCTGATTATGCTGTAGACAAATGTAGTCAATAACTCGGCACTTTAGTGCATCTTAGTTAAAATTTAAATATTCTGCCTAACCCCGGCTTTCCACGGGAGCCGTCAGCAGCACGTTACTGCAGCAGCACGTCATAGCTGCTGATAGGAACCGCTGTGGTCAACAGAACCTTTTCCACTGGAGCCGTCAGCAGCGCGAGTCGGCCGCGTCTCAGGAGCAGCGTGTCACTTTCTTTACGCGCCGGTTCTATTTTTTACGCGTGACGCCTCTGAAACGGGTCAAGTTCGACATTTTTGGGGAAGGAAAGACAGGAAATTGGACGCGGAAATGGAGAGAAGCTACCGAGATTTTCAGAATAAAGAACGTACTGCTTTCCGGTTGCTTTACTTTTAAAAAAGGTTACTAACTGTGCGTCCTCGTGAGAAGTTATCACCTAGCTAGCGGTCTCCTTTGTTTTTCAGGTCCGTATTGGCGATCATAAAACGGACAGAACATAAAACACAAACCATGTTGTAATTTTCTCCTACTTGTTGTTGTGTTTACTGACGAAGTCACTCGTGTGACTTCGTGCTCTGTCGGTGACAGCTGCTCCCCTGCTGCTTCGCGTCTCGTGGGAAGGGCCAAGCAGCAGCTTACGCGAGCAAGACGTGCTGCTGCAGTAACGTGCTGCTGACGGCTCCCGTGGAAACCCGGGGTCAAACTGTCAGCGATGCACCGTCGACAGGCAAAAACTCAGCACTGCATTTGAATTTAAATCTGCCATCGCTATTGGCTATGAGGTACACTATGATGTTAGATGGTACCTTATGATGTCACAATGCCGCGAGTGTGTGTATTTGTTAGCGGCTCCTCCGTCTCGGTCTGCTAAGCAACAGCATTTGTTGCATTTTTCAAACAGGAAGTGGGAGTTGAGTAAGAATCTGGCAGGGGATGACTTGCTCTTTAAAGAGCAAGTCAACCCCTACCAGAGTATTACTCCACTCCCACTTCATGTTTGAAAAATGCAACACATGCTGTTGCCTGGCAGACCGAGAGGGCGGAGCCGCTAACAAATACACACACACAGGCTCACGACAGCATTGTGACATCATAATGTACCAGTTTACATCATGGCATACCTCTTAGCCAATAGCGGTGGCAGATTTAAATTCAAATACAGTGCAGAGTTTTTACCTGACAACGGCACAACACTGACAGTTTCAGGCAGAATATTTAAATTTTTACTAAGATGCACTGAAGTGCCAAATTACTGACGACACGTGTCTGCAGCACGATTAGACACTTGTTTATTTAGTTTATCAGCAAAAAAAAGTTTATTTGGGGGTGACTTGCTCTTTAAATTTATATCTGTGACAGTTCTTCTCCGAATTGGTGGGAAACTTGTCATTCAAAGTGTCACACAAAGTGTTTGTGGCTCTGTTGCAAGTTCCATAGTAATTCTAAATTATTATTTAAAAATTTATTATTAGACAGTTTTCTGTAGCCATCTAGCTCATGATTGCCATGTGTATCATTGTTGCCATGGGGATCATTCTTAAAATCTGAATCATCAGTACCATTAGGATAATAATTGCCATGGGGATCATTGTTACCCTCTTTGGATTGTTGTTGCCTTCTGAATTATGGTTGCCATGGGGATCATTGTTACCAGGTTGATTCTCACTTTGATCGGGTTACGTGTTCATCCTTATATGGCAACAGCGTAAAACAGTTTCCACCATATCGCTGCCATAAACAAGCCTGTTCCCATAACATCAGTTGACATCCTGACTCTAAACAAAGCCTCCCTGGGAAAGTGTGACACTGACCTACCAGAACAGTAATGAGCAGTGATGATAAAGTTGAACGGACATAAAGCTCCTTGTTTGTACATCTAGAGTAGATTTTTTTGGTCCTCCTAAATGATCTTTTCAGTAAAACTTGCTTTTCTGCAGACTTAGCCATCATAGAAACAAACTAAATGTCTTTAGTTTCTAAAAACGTTAAGTCGATAGCTACAGAAAACCAAACAAAAATTGCCTTATAACGTTTTTCTTGACTTTATTCAGAACACACACCAGCTGAACTCACCCTATAGTATATAGCCCATGTTTTATATTTCTACAGCTCTCTGAGGCCTGATTGGTTATGCATACGTAGCTCTGAGCTGGTTTCATCTCCTTCTCCTCTAATCACCACCAGAGGAAAGCGTGTCGGATGTGATGAATGAAAGCAACGGCGACACAAAACACCTGAGCCATCGGATGTAGCTGAGACTCTTTAGGCTCTGAGCGCAGCTTCATCCTGCTGTCGTGTTCAGATGCAGAGGTGGGGCCGAGCTTTCAGTGAGATGAAACGGGGCTGATGCTTTACTGGACACTGCTGCACACAGCAATTACATTAGTGCCACACACACACACACACACACACACACACACACACACACACACACACACACACACGTGCTCTAAACACGTGAGGAGCTTCCATCTTCTGAGCAGATCTGAATCTTGTCAGGATTAAACGTTTGAGATGATTCAAAGGTTCAGATTAGCTTCTACTGGTGAACATTTGTTTACAATAGAAGTAAAAAAAAATCTGAGCTCAGCTCCATGATCCTGATTTTCTTCTAAAATCAAACTTTATGAATAGAAGCTGAGCTTCTGATTTTGCTCCTTGGTTTATTTTCTGCATCTTAAACAGCTAATAAATCACTTATTAAGCCCAATCAGAGCTACTTTTTCCTCATATTAAAACAAAATTCAATATTTATCCTAATCTGGTAAATCAGTTCTGATGGTTTTAGATCACATTAAATTTGAATGAAAACACCAGTTTGTTTCATTTAAGAGCATATTTTATTGACAGTGATGAATCTGGTTACTATAGCAACCGGTCCCGCGACATCCTGACCTCCCGTCCAGTCTGAACTGCTGTCACTGCTGAGTAAATCAATCAGACCTGTGGCTCCCCTAGCGGTGAAACAGTTGAACTGCTGCACCAAAAACGCAGATTTGAGATTTACTCAAACACTTGCTCCTGCTTCCCCATTTATTTACCTGAATTGATGAAAAATACTAAAAAAAAAACAAGAGTTTGATACTTTGAATGATACTTTAGCTCCAACATGGAGGCTCCTATTAAGCTCGTTACACTAGGATACTCCTCTGAGAGGAGAGTCGGATGTCTGTGCTTCACCCGTAGGCCCAGATGGTGGTTTCTGCTTCACACATCAACAGAGGCACATTCTGGGTTTCAGATCTTTAATTTAACAAATAGAAAAACACGTTGGCACAAAAAGACTCTAATCTACTGTAAACCAGAAGGCTTCCCTCATCGCTGTGGAGTAAATACTTAAACGCTGGCGTCGGACCGGGTCACGGCTCCAGAACTCAAGTCTCTGTCAGAGCCCAGACCCCCGGATCACCTGATGGTTCGGTACATCATGAAGTCCACCGTGGTGCATCGTGGGTATTTGCCGATGGAGCTCTCCTCCACGGGCGTGTAGACTTTGATCTGACGCATGTGTGTGTCTCTGCCGTTCTGGTGGTTGGCGAGCACGGCGATCTGGATCATGAAGGTGCTGATGGGCTCGTTGGTTCTCTGAAAGACACCGAGCCACGTTCAGCCCACTCGGAACCAAATAATCCATCCACAAGTGTTCCTGAACCAGATTTTTATTTACTCATGTTTATTATTCTTTCCTGCTGATCGTGTGGATTTTAAAACTTTTTACTGGTTTTATTTCACGACAATTTAAAGAACAAAATAATAAAACATTAAATTTTACCGAATATTATTAAAAAAGTTCTCTAAGCTATGCTTTTATTTTTATGAATACTTTTTGTGAAAAATTACTATGGAGGTGGAAAAATGAGCTGATATTATGCATCACTTTTGATATAATGAGATATCGCTTTACTTGCAGTAATTTTTATATGCAAGTTATTGTTTTTGTTGGTTTCTTCTGGAACGTCCAAGTATCTTTATTTGGCTTTTAAATCTGGATGAGACCTAAATGACATCATTTCTCTGGACAGAGGCTGTTCAATACAACAGGTGAAGCAGGAATCATTTACACCTTTAACACTCGTCTAAACTTCTTGTACCTGATTTAGTAAAGAGATGTGGATCCAGCCGCTGGGCTCCACCATCTCCAGCTGCTGCAGAGACCAAGCAGATAGAACAAGACATTCAGAGTCGGAACAGCTGGAAGAGTCTGAGTCTCAGCAGCTGGATCGTTAGGTTACCCGGATCTCCTGGAGGTTGTGGAAGTTGTTTCCCACCCGGACAGAGATCTTACTCGGGGTGTAGCTCTCGTCTGACTTATAGTCAGCATAAATACACAACATCTTCACCGTCGTCCTCCTCCTGCACGCGCACGCACACACACACACACACACACACACACACACACACACACACACACACACACACACACACAAGCTCATGAGTAAAGTGCCACTCTGAAGTCCTGAAGCTCGTGATCTCACCTGAACTGAATGTTGACCAGGTGAGGCTGAGATCCATCTGACTGCCAGTAGGTTTCCAGGTTATCATCCCTCAGCTGATCCATCCCGAACCCTGCAGCAGTGACCCCAGACTTGAGCCCACTCTCCTGGGTTTAACCCCCTACAAACCTACCCCCATTCCGGATGCTCACCTGGCTTACAGGACGACAGGGACCACACCGCCTGTGAACCGATCTCCCGCACGGTCCCGGTCCGCTCCAGCTGCTTCGGGTCGGCACCGGGTGGTGTCTTGCTCGGGGTGGCCATCCTGTAACCACGGAGACGGATCGAACCACAGATTGAACGATATTCAGTCGTGTTTGGCTTACGGAGCCTCCGATGACGTAAAGGAACTTGGGTTTCATTTAAACTGTAGCCTCTTTAAAACTAACTGGCACATAAACTGTTTTAACTTGTTTACAAACGCAGTTTTAGAAGGCCAATAAATCTGGTAGGCCTTTGTGGCAACTTCGGCATTTTAATGAATCTACTAGTGGTGTTTTATTTGGCTAACGAGGCTCAGAAAGCAGAAAACAAATGGTTAAACAACGCTGCAGCTAGCTAAAAAAGCTAAAGTTTACCACTTTGAATTTATATAATTCTACTTATATGTGGTTTGTGAATTATAAAAAATAACGGAACTCACAATGAACGTCAGTAAAAGCGTCAAACTCACCGTACAAAGCATGGGATTAGGTTAGTCTCACACAAAACAGATTTTAACTCCGTTTTGTTTCACCGCTGCATCCAGCGCACGTTACACGTCACTGCGTCGGGTCACGTGTGGTGTGCGTGCCTCCCGCCATCTTTCCAGCCGGCTTCTAGGAGAGAAACACGTTGCTGGAAAAAAACTGTGTTTTACCCAAATATTTTCGACTAGGAGTACGTTTCTTTCTGTTTTCTGTCAAGGAGGCATAGGAGAGCGGACGAGGGGTGAGTTTGTGACTCGTAGCCCTGAACTTTGTTCAGTTTATTGGTTTTATTTCCTCTTAAACAAACAGCTGTCATACTGTGAGGCCTAAGAGCTAGCAGCTAGCTGTTTGCGTTCCCTGGTGGCTGCAGTTAAATACCCATTCCAGCTCCGGATCTGTGCTTTAAAAGTTACAGATTAACACATCTGAAGACACGGAGAGAGTTTATTGGCATCATACACTTTAACTTTCCTTGCATCGTCAAAAATGGTCGTAGGGCCGCTACAAATACTACGCTTTCTTCTCAGACGTAATGACCAAACTCAGAACTCCGTCTACTAATTTCTTAAATTAAGATTTTCTTAATAATCACTGATTGTATGAACACGTCGGATCATGCATCACATGTTTCTCAATCATATCAATCAGTGGATTAATTCGGCGTATAAATCTGCGTGCATATCATTGACGTAATTGATAGAAACCCCGACTTTGATGCAGCTCGCCACCGCCCGTCACGAACCCAGTTTGGGCTAAAAATCTGAATTCAAACAGATGACATTTTAGTGGGCGTTAGTGAATCGTGTTGAACTGGTGCCGTTTGGAGCAGGAGGACGTTCAGGCCTGGTCAGACCAGCTGTGACGTGATTTCTGAATGACTGCAGAGCGACGAGCGCACATCACAGCAAATCTTTGGCCTTTAGGATTCAGACTTAATAAAATTTCACAGCTAAAATGATCTTATCTGTCTCCTGACAGGGTTACATTTTAGTATAACAGGGGCTCATCTTAAACATAATGGTGCTACTGATGGTTGAAACTCCTCTCCTGTATCTCACATCAGTGATTAAAGCAGGACTTGTGTCAAAATTCAATAATACACATAATTCAGTCAGCAGCCAGCCGTTCTGTCCCTTAGCTTTTCATAATAAAGCAAATGAACCCACAGAGATTCAGTGACATGTTGATAAATATTAATGGAGGAAGATAAGAACCAAATCTGTTTCCCCTAGGAATTTTTCCAGCTGTGGGGGGTTATGACACGTCTCACCTTCATGTTTATATTGTTTTATTTGATGCACTCCACTTTGAACTGCACCAGTCCAGCAACTGCTGCATTGTAATAACTAGTATTAAAGGTGAATACACCAATATTTGCACAAGAATAATTTTTGCTTTAAACTCTCAGTGACACACTTTGCAGGGGGGATTTGGCATTTAATTCTTCTTGGCGTCTGGAAAAACATCTCCTTTTGCCCCCCTTTATTTGACTTTCTGCCCCCTTTATTTTGGTCCAAGACCATTACTGGGCTGGCCCTATTAAACACGTTCTACACCCCTGCTTAGTAGACTTCATGAAGTAAAGCCAGTATAAAAATGACTGAAACACAAATTTACATATTTGGCATTATTGACCAATATCTTTGATTTAATTTATTTGTTGAGAACATCAAGATGCATTACAGTGAACATTATAATAAAGTACATTTTTCTAGTGCAGAGGGGAGACAACCCATAGAAGCACTGGTTTGATCTCATTTAAGAGAAAAATAGAACAGGTCAGATGCACCTAATAAATAAAATTAGTAACAAACTCAGGAATCTGTTTCTTTGCTTCATTGTTCTGGTGCTGAAAACATCACTAATGCGGATCAAAGTAGATACACAGATGAATGCACCTTATTATTTATTATTATTAGGAAATTAGTGGGTGTGGTTTACATCAATACATTATTTTAAATCTGAAATTGATATGGATTGATCAGAAGTTGCTATGTGTATTGTTTATTTGAAAACTATTTACAGAGCAGCCTCAGAATTGAGATTAAATATTTTTGATCACAATAATAAAGGAACTATTACAGATTAAGTTTTTCAGTAAAATCAGAACATTCATATTTAAGTGCATGAATTAATACATCTGAACTCATGCAGTAGGAACTAGGAAATATGAAATACTAGAACCAGACACAACTTTTTAAATTTTCTTTAT